AAGCCATTAAACATTTCAGTTAATTCGTAGTTTAAATTGCCTAAGCAGTGCATTTAATTACCTTGTAGCTGCCTGTGAGCCTATTTACTCATTTGCAAGTGTCAGTTTGTTTGGATAATCAATCATCAATGAACAGGTTGAAGATTCATTTTCTCAAACATATTCTGAGCCTACTTTGTCTGCAGTTCGCCTACCTGCCTAGAGGACACACTTATTGCTCTTTATTATGGCTGTTGCTAGCGAGACTTGTGATGGTTGCCGAACATCTAGAGCATCATGCCACACGATGCAGGTCACTAGTATACACTAATATCTTCATGCTGTGAACAAAGAGGAACAGGTTTGTTCGTTTACTCCGAGGACAACAGAAAGAGTGATCGCCGGCCTGGATCGGCTGTGAGATCACCCAACAGGCTTTACATTTCCTCCAATAGGCCTACCAAATCTCTTCAAGACGTGAAAGCGCCAGTGAGGCTACTGGACTCCGACGGAACAAGAGAGCACCCGGTAGGCCTATGAGAGCCGTAATATGCCCAAGATCCCTCAACACTATCCGGGACATGAAGTCGCTGAAGAGGACTCTTCGACTCGAAAAGGGATGTACGAACACGCAGTTTTAAACCTGTTATACTTTGGCGTCCAGGATCTAGCTTTCTTCGATAGAAAACCAAGTCGCTGGGAGGTTTAAGGGCGGGTGGGTATGAGTGGGTATGGATAATGACGACAAGTGTAAACCCTTCGGAAAAAAACTCAGGCCTTTTTCCCTTGTTCCTAACTATCACTCGGCTGGTCATGCACAGCCACAATTACAACATCCGATGTCTGGTATATCATTTAAATAGAAACCTGAATCTAAATGTATTTGCTATGCTAAATGATGTGCATCTCTCAAAAGCATTGGCTGTTTTTTCGCAGATGGACCAATTACAACATTCTATCATTTCTACTTTAATTCTAACACTTTGGGGCTTCTTGTAGGGCTTGACAGCTGTTGACTGCACTTGTATGTAAAAGGCATGTTGAAATTATATTGAAAATGTGCAAGTTAACACGTAAAGAAATGTAATAAGAATTTCTGCTTGTATATTGCTAATAAAGTGAATGGTAAGAAATTCCGTATACCTTTGTTTTAAATACGGTTACAGACTTGCGTTAGTGGTAATTTCAGGTAAATTAGGTTATTAAGGAATCTAAATGTGGTTGTATGCAGGTAATGTAAATGATTATTGGAGTTTCGAAAATTATAGTTAACCTATTCATTATGCCTTAATAATTTTACTTGTTATGTCTTACACAGAAACATTTTGATCTGCCTTTCATACGTGATCAATTTTAAAATTAATACCACTACAAAACCTTAAGACTTCCTTAAATTATTATAAGGAATTTTACACAGAGAAATAGTGTGATTTTTTCTAAAAGCGTGGTCTGTAAAAATGTTTTATGAGATAGAAAAACTAAATGAACTTTTAAGTACTAATGTTAACCAGACAAGTGTAGATATTCTAATATTTAGTTCAGTATGACCTATGTGATCATTCATATGCGGGTATTATCGGGTAAATATGACCTGGGATACATATATTAGAACAAAACGCCGGTAGATCCTCTGTCTTTTTTCTTTTCTTTTTTTGTAAATACAGGCGGCAGCTGTAGGCCTACGCATCTCAGACCCCTCTAGCTTATCAGTTATATTTCCTCTTGCATGGAAGTTGCGGCTCTTGCAAGGTGTTGCCGTCTACAACTTGGTTACATGTTACTGGAAATGATGCTTCTATTTACTGGTATAACTGTTACATGCGTGATTACTGTAGATATATTTTGATAGATATAGTACAATATCTTTGGGTCATTGAAAAAAATAATGTCAAAGGGTTAACTGTTGAGGGCATGTCACCTTTCACAATGGGGTAAATGTCCTCGTTCGTTAATAACCATAATATATTTCAACACTTCAAAAGTATGCTAAACAACAGACATTCAAGCTATCAATTTTGAAATAGACAGTTATTCACGATATTTTAACAGGTTCCTTTTGATAGACCACACGTCAGCAAACAGCTAGGAGTCTTTGCCCATAAAGTCGTCCCCAAGAGCGATTCTTTGATGAAGTGTGAGGAGGGACTGCGGCTCCTTGGATGGCACAGCGTGAGCCGGGCCACGTTCACAAAACAACTTCTTGGTCGCGTTCAGAACAAATGAAACGCCGTGCCTAACCAGCCAGCCAATCACCGGTATCCAGTACTCAAACACTTGCAAAATTAGCTAATCACCGGTCTTCACTGCCTGCGTGTGAGAAGTTGCTGCAGGAAGGTGGCCGGCCTCACCTTCTGTGGAGTGGCAGAAAAGCCATTAGACGAGTTTCTATAAAAATTCTAGAAAGCTGAACCTCCAGCTGTCATGACAAACATACTATTATTCGAGTGATGATAATGGCAATGATGATGTGATAAAATTACTAATCCTCCTATCAATATTCATTGCGAATCACTTTCTCACA